CCCAGGGAAACAATGACTGTTCTAACAATATGAACTCTAGCATTACAGCTCTAGGTGAGGGAAATGCAGTCTGATAAAAACTGAAACTGTGGTCCACTGAGACAAAGGGGGAGACTGACTTATATAGAGAGAAGTTCCTGCCCCTGGTCCCTGATTGGTCTACTTCCTTGCAGATGTGGACTACTAATCCTCACAGTTTGATTGGCTCAAATACTGTCATCTTGATTGGTTGGAATGGAGCTGTTCTGATTAGTTGGTAAATATGCTAATGAGGATATAGCTGTGCAGCTATGATTGGACAGGAAAAGTCTCAGTCCTATTGGTCAAATTTCAATCCTAGGAGCTCTCTTATGAGGGTAAATTCAGCCAGCAAGAGCACAGTGCACAGACTGACAGGTCAGCCTGCAGCTTTTTTCTGATATGCAGTATGCATGAGAGGCCTCTGAAAGCATTGGGTGCTAGACTCTGGTTATGAATTTGTGCCTGATTAATTGCAAGGAGTCCTTCTTGGCAGGTACTTTCTTTCTTGGGGTCAACAAACTGAAGGAAGTTAGAAGAAAACAGAGGCCTGGAGAAGGATCTCTGTAAGATATTTGTAAGGGCCTGGCTGTCTCTCTGAAGCATCTGTGTGAATGATTTGTGGTATGTGTTAGGGAAAAGAATTACAAGAAGTTTTATACTAGAGAGACCTGCAGAGAATTTGATTTTGTTGCCAAGTTTGCAGAGTCAAAGAGGGCAAAACTAATGTTTTTTACGGATGCAGGTCATTGAAAGTCATCCAGAAATGGAGAGCTGCTTTGTTAAAAAACAACAAAATAAAACAAAATGAACCAAGTAACAATTATGTAAATTAGCTCCCTAAAGGTGAATTTCTTGAAAGCGACAAGGTTTAGAAAACCTGAGAAAAAGTAAACAAATTTTCTTGGGCTTTTGGATGTGGATGGTGGAGTCGGGTGCTGTGTATTGAGCCAATAGTCGAAGTGGAACTCTGTGTCCAGTGAATCACTATTCTCACCGTCAAAAATAAACTTATCAGATATATATTCAAAGGGTTCAAGGATTCCAAGATCCCAGGAACAGTGTGGGCACTCCTCCTCCTTTGTCTCACAGCCCCTCTTCCATTAGTGTCTGCAGGGTTGCATTTCCTTTTCTGTGGGCAGAGTGTGGCTTGGGGCTGGAGGCTGGAATAAGAAGAGACATTCCTGACTCCCACACACCCACCATGCCTTCTCCTTCTTCTGGTGTGAGAACCCTGGGGGTCTGAATCCCAGGCTGGCATTTCCGGCCTTTCCTGAAACTGTCTGTACTGTTCTAACAAATAATATCACTATTACGTAAGTGATACAAGTCAAGCCAGGAACATGCAGCCCAGGGAAGAAGTACATTTTATGATTTGAGTTCTTCTTTTCTTTTGGCAAAAACTGGTTTTTCCCATCCCTTCTAGGGCAGAAATGAAGTCCACTTGGTGTAGAGAGGGGAGGGGACCATTCTGCTTGACTGTACTTCAACCTGGTGCTTGTTCCATGTGCCATGCTAGTTGCAGAGGAGCCACCATGAAAAAGCACAGAGTGGGTAGGCCTGGGCTTGTAGAAATGAGGTGCTCCAACCCCCATGCTGGCTCCCACAGATTTTCAGCTGGGGCCAGGTATTCTTAGTGCAGAATGACTTGATTATAGATTTGATAAAACCTCACTGGATCACACAGTGTGTACAGTACTTTCTGAGTTAGAGCTGAGTCTAAATAGAGAAAATCCTTTTTGCCTAGTAGAAATTACATGTATTATTGAACATATTATGAGTCAATACCATTGGTGGGATCATCTTTTTCCCAGCTACCCAGGCTGAAAAAGCTAGAGTCATTTAAAATTTTTTTCTTTCCTTTATGCCCCAGATAAAAGCAGTCACCAAATCCAACGTTGAAAACAATCCTGTTAGTGATTCCTTTGTTTTCATGCCCTGCCACGTCCATGGCCCAGTTCGTCATCTGGGGTCAGCTGAGAGGCGGTGAGCATGGGCTATTGAGAAAGACGTTCTGGGTGTGCATTTGGCTCTGTCATATGACTTGGATAAGCTAACCTTCCTGTTTATCAAGTCATTTAGAAAATGCGATTGATAACACTTCTTACTTTGCAGGGTTATTCTGAGGATTAAATGAAATAATATTTATAAAAATGAATGTGATTAAATTGTATGATTCCAATTGTTTTTTTTTTTTTTTTGGATGTGGTGATTAGTAGGAAAAATTCTATAAGGATATGCACCAAAATGTTAATGATGTTTTCATATTGAGGTGGGATTTATAGACTTTTTTTTTTAAGCTTGCATCTTTGTGCTTTTCTATACTTAAAAAAAAATTTCACAATAAACATGTATCACTTTTGTAGTTATAAATATGAATTAAAATTCTACAATCATTTAAGAAACAGCTGAGATGATACTTCTTTTATTAAAACTTTCCAGATCTTCCCATTGGTGGAAATTCCTCTCTGAATCACTCTGAGATCTAGTTTACTTACCTGTAAAATGGGGTTAGTAAACTTTAAATAAAAGTATACATACTATTATGTACATCTTATATATATTATAGTATGTATACCTCTATCTATCTATCTATCTATCTATCTATCATCTATCATCTACACACACACACACACACACACACACACACACACAGACACACACACACAATATTGTATAAAAGTTGTAAGAGACTGATTAGGAGCAAATAGTCCTGCTTTGGTAAACGGTGGGGAGAGGAATTTTCCTCAGGTCAGACTGCAGTATTACTGACATCCATCCCCTATTGGTGGCATTAGCCCAGGACTTCACCACAAGCAAAAGCGAAGCTACCTACATAGAACTTTACAAACTTAAAGCAGAAAACAAAGAAAATGGCGGGGGACCATATTAGCTAAGAGGGTTGGGAAATATGGGAATGTGTGACCACTGCCTATGAACTCCTATAACCAGTTGTGGAGGACTTCCAATGAAAACTGGAGATTTTGACAGATTGAATAAAAGTGGACAGAGCCTGAGTAGAGCTGGTTATCCCGTTACTATGATGCTCTTTTTCCCTTGGCTCATGCAGCCCAAGAAATTAATTATATATATATATATATATATATATATATATAATTTATTACATATATTATATATAAATTATATATATTATAAATTAATTATATATATAAATGATATATATCAAATAAATTATATATATATGGTGGAACAAAATCTTAGCATTCTAGACTGTTCAGTGGGCTCCCAGGTGTTAGTGAGACCTCATGTGATATCAGTGGGGACAGGACTGGGAGGAGGTGGGACTTTGAATGTTCCTAACATTTACCAAGAATATTAATGCCTATCTATTCTCTGGGATATTTGTCTCAGGAAGAAAATAGTGTATGGGGCTGGTGTATGTGTATTTGTGTGTGTGGGTCTATAGTGTGCATAGGTAAATAAAGAGCAAATAAAATATTTTTTTAAACATTTATTTGTTTACCAAGAGAAACTATCCATTAGCCCAAATATCCATGTTTCATAATTCAAGAACACAGCTCAGTGACAAACTTCCATGGAAGTCAACTCAAATTCTTTACACTCCAAAATCACTTTGCACTCTGAAAAATACCAGCCTTCCTCATCTCCTCAAAATCTTTCATGGAATCGTAAGTTCTGTAGAAATCTGCATATGCCTTCTTCCTTGGTTCAGCCACAGCAAACTTATAGAAAGCTGCAACCCCCAGGGAAACAATGACTGTTCTAACAATATGAAATCGCAGATGCTTGGCCAGAAGGCCACACATCTGGGGTTTTGCCAAAGCACTGGAAGACATGGTAGCTATATTCTCCCTTAATACCAATATCCTTCCGGACAGAGAAAATAAAAATATTTTTAAATACCTGTTTTGCATATGACAAAACGTTTGCAATATAGTTGATAAGACTATTCACAAAGAAGAATTAAAACTGCCAAGAAGAGTAGTCCCCACAACATCTGGCTGTGAAAATCAGTGAGTATACCATTTGGGTGAAGCAGAGGGCTGCTGTACACCAGGAGTCCTCTTAAAGGGCCTGAGCACAGACTCTTTTACTGACAAACATTCCCCATAACACTTCTTTATTTTTAACACCTCTCCAACAAAGGGTTAGCAGCTCAAAAAGCACATATACATATATACAGCATATATACAGCATATATATACAGCATATATAAGCATATATACAGAGAGGAACTGAATTGTCTGGCTTCAGTGTGAGGGCTGGAGAAGCAGCTTTTTTCCAGATTGAAGTGCTGGCAGACACCATTGTTTTTTTGTTGCGTCTTCCCCCTACTCAGTGTGCAGGTGCAGGCAGGTGTCAAATCTGAGTCTCCATAAACCAGGCTAACACTGCCTGCCCCATCCTGGTGATTTCCTTAGACCGGGCCCCACCCAACTAGTGCACCAGCCCTAATTTCTTTTAGCAGCTGTTACACACAAGCTACCAGCCTTGATCACTGTGGAATTTCCTAAAATATCTCAAATGTCCATCTCCCCTTCCCACTCCCAAAAGCAGCGACTGGCCTCCATGTGCCCTGTACTTCTTGCTAAGTAGCCTCAATCCTGGCACTAGTGGCAGCTATCCTTGGTTCACAGCATAGCTTCTCCCAGGATCCTCCAAGCTCAGCATTGGCAGCTGCCAACTGCAGGTCACTTTGTAACTCCTACCAGGTGGCCCCAGGTCAGGCATAGGCAGTGGCTGACCTTGGCCTGCACTGGATCCTCTCCCAAAAGGTCCCAGAAACCACACACCCAGTGGTCAACTTCAGACCACACCAGAGCATGACCTAATTAGCTCCACAAATGACACATCCAAGAGGTGGACTAGGCAGGTATCGGAGCCCCACTAAAGTGAATTCTGCTCCTTGGGGTCAGCACTCGCACAATAGCTCATTTGCTGTAGTCATGATCAGTATTCACAGCGAGTCAGCCTGAGGGTCAATCTCACCCACAGACATGTCAACAGCAGTCAAGGCTCCACTACAAGAGGAGGGCATTGGAAACCCAAATAAGGGACATCCCTGGAGTATCTGGGTCAGGTGACCAGGGAGGCTGCACCATTGGGCCCCAAATGATACCTACTTCATAAGGTCACTCTGCTAAGACTGGGAGATGTAGTAGTACTATGTATTAGTACCTAACACATAGAAACAAACAGAGGAGGCAGCCAAAAGGAGGAGAGAAAGAAACATGCCTCAAATGAAAGAAGACAAAACCCCAGAAAAAGAGCTAAACAAAATAGAATCAAGCAATCTATGAGTTGCAAAGTTCAAAACATTGGTTATAAGTATGTTCAATGAACTTAGCGGAAAAATAGATGAACTCAATGAGAACTCAATGAAAGAAATAGAAACCATACCAAAAAAAAAGTCAGAAATGAAGAATACAGTAAATGAAGTGAATAATACATTAGATAGAACCAAAAGCATGTTAGATAAAGCAAAAGAAAAAATCAGCAATTTGGAAGACAAGGTAGAAGAAAACAATCAAGAGCAAAGAAAAAAAAATTTTAAATGAAGATAGTTACAGAACCTTTGGGAAAACACCAAGCATAACGTTTGCTATATAGGGGTACCAGAAAAAGAAGAGAAAGAGCAAAGAATTGAAAACCTATTTGAAGAAATAATGACCGATAACTTCTTTAACCTGGCAAAAGAAATAGACAAAGAAGCCCAGGAAGTGCAGAAAGTACCAAACAAGGTGAACCCAAAGAGGCCCACACAAAGACACCTCATTATTAAAATGCTGGAGGTTAAAGACAAAGAGAGAATCTTAAAAGCAGTGAGAGAAAAACAGTTATCTACAAGGGAGCTCCCATAAGACTGTCAAAGTGATTTCTTAACAGAAACTTTGCAGGATAGAGGAGATTGGCACAAAATATTCAAATGAAAAGCAAGGACCTACAACCAAGATTACCCTCCCAAGCAAGGCTATCATCTAGAATTGAAGAAGAGATAAAGAGCTTCCAGACAAGCAAAAACTAAAGGAGTCTGTCACCACTAAACCTGTATTATAAGAAATGTTAAAGGTATTTCTTTAAGAACAAGAAAAAAATTTTAAATGAATAATAAAATGGCAATAACTATATACTTATCAATAATTATTTTAAATGTAAATTGATTCAGTGCTCAAATCAAGACATGTGGCTGAATGGATAAGAAAACAAGACCCATATATATGTTACCTACAAGAGACCCACTTAAGATGGAAGACACACATAGACTGACAGCAAAGGAATGGAAAAAGATATTTCATACAAATGGAAATGAAAAAAAAAAGCTGGCATAACAATACTTATATTAGACAAAATTGACTTAAAACAAAGAGTTTGAGGCTATACCAAGAGGTAAAGAAGGCATTTCATAATGATAAAAGGATCAATACAACATGAAGATATAACTTTTGTAAACATTTATGCACCCAATATAGGAGCACCTAAATATATAAAGCTGATACTGATGGACACAAATGGAGTGATTGATAGTAATACAGTAAAAGTAGTGGACTTTAACACCCCATTGAAATCAATGGATAGGTCATTCAGACAGAAAATAAACAAGAAGACAGTAGCCTTAAGTGACATATTAGACCAGATGGATTTAATTGACATTTTTAGAACATTTCACCCCAAAGCAGCAGAGTATACATTCATTCAAGTGCATATGGAACATTTTCCAGGCTAGACCATATGTTAGTCCACAAAAAAAGTCTCAACAAATTTAAGAAGATTGAAATCATATCAAGCATCTTCTCTGATCACAATGGTATGAAACTAGAAATCAATTACAAGAAGAAAACTGAAAAACACACAAATATATGGAGGTTAAATAACATGCTATTGAGCAATGAATGGGTTAACAATGAGATCAAGGAAGAAATCAAAAGACACCTTGAGACAACTGAAAATGAAAACAAAATGACCCAAAATCTATGGAACACAGCCAAAGCAGTTCTTACAAGAAAATTCATAGCAATACAAGCCTCCTCAAGAAAGAAGAAAAATCCCAAATAAACAATCTAAGCTTATACCTAAAGGAAGTAGAAAAAGAAAAAGAAACAAAGCCCAAAGTGAGTTAAAGGAAGGAAATAATAAAGATCAAAGCAGAAATAAATAAAATAGAATCTAAAAAAATGCAAAAAGTCAATGAAACCAAGAGTTGGTTCTTTGAAAAGATAAACAAAATTGATAAACCTTTAACTAGGCTCATCTAGAAAAAAAATGTAAGGACCCAAATAAATAAAATCAGAAATGTAAGAGGAGAAGTGACAACTGACACCACAGAAATATAGAGGATTATAAGACAATACCATGAACAATCGTAAGCGAACAAATTGGACAGTCTGGAAGAAATGGATACATTTCTAGAAACACGCAATCTTCCAAGCCTGAATCAAGAAGAAAGAAAATTTGAATAGACTGATAACTACTAATGAAATCTAATCAATGATGAAAAAAGTCCAACAAATGTCCTGGACTAGATAGCTTCACAGGTGAATTTTACTAAACATTCAAAGAAGAATTAACACCTATCCTAGTCAAAAGATTCCAAAAAAAGTGGAGGGAAGATTCCCAAGCTCATTTTATGAAGCCAGCATTACCCTGATTCCAAAACCAGGCCAAGACATCTATCTATCTATCTATCTATCTATCTATCTATCTATCTATCTATCTGTGTGTGTATATATATATATATATATATATATATATATGTCATCTCAATAACCCTGATGAACATAGATGCAAAAGTCTTCAATAGAATATTAGCAAACTGAATTCAGCAATACATTAAAAGGATCATACACCATGATCAAGTGGGACTTATTCCTGGGATGCAAGGTTGGTTCAATATCCACAAATCAATTAATGTGATACGCCACATAAACAAAATGAAGAATAAAAATAATATGATTATATCAATAGATGCAGAAAAAGCATTTGACAAAATCCAGTATCCATTTATAATAAAATCTCTCAGCAAAGTGGGAATAGAGGGAACATACCTCAACATAATAAAAAAGGCCATGTATGAGAAGCCCACAGCTAACTTCATACTAATGGGGAAAAGCTAAAAGTGTTCTCCTTACGATCAGGAAAATACATTTTCACTGCTTTTATTCAACATAGTATTGGAAGTCCTAGCCACAGCAATCAGACAAGAAAAAGGAATAAAGGGCCTCCAAAATGGAAAGGAAGAAGTGAAACTGTCATTATTTGCTGATGACACTATACTATACACAGAGAACCCCAAAGATTTCACTATAAAACTATTAGAACTGATAAATGAATTCAGTAAAGTAGCAGGATATAAAATTAATATCCAGAAATCAGTTGCACTTTTATACAGCAAGAGAAATTAAGAAAACAATCCCACTTACAGTTGCATCAGAAAAGAAAAAAATACCTAGGAATATATTTGACCAAGTAGGTAAAAGACCTGTACTCAGAAAATTATCAGACATGGAAGAAAGAAATTAAAGAAGATACAAATAAATGGAAGCATAAATCATGCTCATGTATAGGAAGAATAAATATAGTTAAAATGTCCATACTACCCAAAGCAATCTATAGACTCAAAGCAATCCCTAACAAAATACCAATGGCATTTTTCACAGAACTAGAACAAATAATCCTAAAATGTATATGGAACCACTAAAGACCCCGAATAGCCATAGCAATCTTGAGAAAGAACAAAGTTGTAGGTAACATGTTACCTAATATGAAACTATACTACAAGGCTATAGTAATCAAAATAGCATGATATTGGCATAAAAACAGACACATAGATCAATAGAAC